GTCATGTGACCAAGTGGGAGTGGCTTGCCAGTCATGTGACCAAGTGGGAGTGGCTTGCCAGCCATGTGACCAAGTGAGAGTAGCTTGCCAGCCATGTGACTGGGTGGGCGTGGCCAACTTGCAAAATGTGGTGAAACTCACTTAACAACACTCTTGCTTAGCAACTAAAATGTTGGCTCAGAAACTCTGGCATTTGAAGCATGCAAGTCTTAAAGCTGTCAAGTTGCAAGACCCTTGCACCCCTAACCTTTTAGACCCCCTCCCCAGGGATGTTCAAACTTGACAGCTTTAAGACTTGTGGACTTCAACTCCTAGAATTCCTCCTTTCACTCTTCATCTTGATGATGGGCGGACGGGTGTGAGGAGGGAGCTGGAACCAGTTCTAAACGGCACTGTAGATTTGTGGAACCTCTTCTATAGAAGAGGTTAGAACTGGCAGGAACCCACCCCTGGCTCACTCCATTATGTGGCGCTAGGTATTCCAACCGCTGAACTGCCGACCTTCTGATCGACAAGCTCAGAGTCTTAGCCACTGAGCCACCGCATCCCTTTTACTACTAAAAAAATGCCAAAATGGAGGAATGGAGGAGAGGGAAAGAAAAAGAAAATATAGATATGAAGTCTTAACATTTGATGACCAAGTTGACTAGTAGGGGAGAAGACATCTGTTCTGCAGATCAATGTATGGAAATGTAATGCACATGGATAGCTGTACTAATGGTTTTTATCTTTGACAAAAGAAAAGCAATGTTTCCAGGGATCTTATGACACAAAGTGCTCACCTGTCCTATTTTATTATGTGTGGGAGAAGAACACCCTTATTTACTTTATTTGGGTCACTGCATTTGTTTCTCTGAGACTATCTTGCCTACATGATCCCAGAAGGTCTTGGAATTGGCAGTCCAATAATCTTCTTCCTCTCTTTATTTTTGGAATCATTCTGACCAGCTGCAGACATAAGCAACATTTTTTGGGGAAGCAAACCCCGTAGATGCGTGATGGTGAACATATGGAGCCATATCTGCCGGCATGGCATCCTTCATGTCCGGCACGCTTGTGTGCACCAGTCAGCTGATTTTTGGCCTTCTGGAGGGTTGGGGGAGGCTGTTTTCACCCCTCCCAGGCTTCAGGAAAGCCTCCAGAGCCTGGGAAGGGCCAAAAATAAGGGCATGCATGGGGGGCGGGGTTGTGCGCGCACACACAATTTTGGCACACCTTTAGAAAAAGTTTAGCCATCACTGCCCTAGATTCTGCCTGAATGCATTATGCCATGGCCATCAATTGCAGATCTGAAGTCTATGTACCGCTCTACTTTTACAGATCAGTTCCAGATTTGAATTTCAGCAGCTTAGTATAGATTATATTTACAAGGCTGTTAACTGCTTCCAAAGCTACATTAGCAAGGAGAAATTGATTGTTGGTTGCTTAATGCATTGGAGGTAAATGACAGTCTGAATTAGTCAAAACTTGTGAATTATTCTACAAGCAAAGGAAAGTTGCCCAGATCAGGGGAGGCAAGCTGTGTCCATATCGGGAATCATACACACAATAGAGACACGTACCAAGATGCCTCACTCCACCACTCAGCTTGTGTTATTTTCAAAGGAGCATATACTGCTAGAAATATCTGGATCTCAGATATAGTATAGTATAAGTATAAACAATTTCATAAAAATATAAATCCCAGTCTTATCCTTCTATAACACCTTGAGACACATTTCAGTTGTATATTTGGAGGTAAATCTATTTCGCTCTATGATTTTTGGACAGGTGAGAAAAACTGTTATTGCTCATAAAACCTATATTCTGGATTACCATATAGGTAGTCCTCAGTTTACAATTGTTTGTTTAGTGAACGTTTAAAGTCACACCAGCACTGAAGAAAATGACCTATGAATTTTTTTCACACTTACGATCGTTGCAACTTCCCCGTGGTCATGTGATTAAAATTTGGATAGGTGGTAACTGGCATGTAGTTATGACAGTTACAGTGTGCCAGGGTCATGTGATCACTTTTTGCAACTTTCTGACAAGCAATATGATAGGAAAAGCCAAACTCCCTTAAAACTATGTTACTAACTTACCAACTGCAGTCATTCACATAAGAACTGTGACAAAAAAGATCGTAAAATGAAGCAAAGCACACTTAACTATCTTGCCTACTACAGAAATGTTGGTCTCAGCTGTGGTTGTAATTTGAGGATTACCATATTTTTCAGACTATAAGATGCACCAGAGTATAAGACGCACCAAGATTTGAAGAGGTAAATAAAAAAAAAGTTTTTTTCCCCTTCCCTGGCCCCCAGGAGCACTCTGCAGGCCTTCCAAACCCTCTGCCTGCCTTGAAAATGGGGCATGCAGAG